ACTATGACGACTTGTCAAGATAATCTATCTCGCCATGTCGACATGATATGTATATTATGTCGACTTGACAACATAAATTATCTTGACAAGTCGTCAAGTCGAATGGCACTTAGGTGCTTCCGTAAGTACCCACACATCACCAACGAGAATTTCCAATCGTCCGACATTTGCATAAACTCCATCGACAAGGCGAACTCCCCCCGGCGAGCTATGAAATAAGAATTTACAGTATTTAGCCAAAATGATGTCGTAGTTTTTGGTGGTTTAGGTTATGCTTTTGTAAACTATTAACATAATAATAATAATTATATTATTATGATGACCACGATGAAGACGATGGTTGCGATGTTGGGGGATGCAGTGGTGGAGGCTGCGGTGGTGGCAGCAATTACAGCGATGCAATAATCATAATGATGATGCTTATGAATATAGTAGCATAATGATAACAATGATGATAATGACAATTATAATGATAATACTAAAAATCATGATAGTTATCATGATGATCATTTTGGTGGTGAGTGAATATGTAAAACAAAAATAGTTTCCAATCACAGGCCCGTAGGCAGGATTTTCGATGGGGAGGTGCGTTTTACTACCGAAGTGGACCTTACGATAGGCGACTGCCTAAAGATCCCCGCGAGGGTGGGGCGAATCATCTGGAAGCTCTGACAAATTGGCATTTTCAGGGCTTTTTTTAATAGATTTCTAAAATCCATAGTTTGTAATATCCTATTTAAATTTCCATTCATTTGGGTATTTTCTAGGGACCTACAGTAAAGCAGGAGAAATAGAGGGTGGGGTGAAGGGAGGAACTTGCACAGACAGATGGTCAATACCACCTCAGCCCCACCATGGTTGGGACTGAGGTAAGAAAATGTATGGTTATGGCACCTCAAAATAGCCGAAATGGCACTCTCAGACAAACTTTAATTATTTGTACAAACTTTATATTTCTTTTTCTCCATTTCTTTTATAATTTTAGGGAGCTCTCCCCCCTCCCCTTGAATCCACCACTGTGAAATTGTAATTGTTTTATGTTCTTTACATCTAGGCCTACAGATGACATGGATCAATCTGCAATCACTGGCGCTGATAATTTCCAAAAGATTTCGTAGCACATTATTAAAAAATCAACGGGTAGAATTAGAGCGGGCAAAAAAATATAATGCATACCGGTACTATAGCATTTCGCGATAATTAGGAACGATTTTAGTGAATAGGTTTTAAAAAGCGGACTTTTTGAAATTTTGTGGTCTAGGGGTAGAGGCCTGGAGGATTTTGTGAGAAAACCGACAAAGTAGCATTTTGAGGTCTTACATAATAGATTCATGAATATTTCATTTAAATTTTCATTAATTTGGGTGTTTTTGGGACCTGAAAAAGTAACGTTATTTTTATCCTGTCTGCAGGCCTATAGATTTCATTCTTCATATTATATAAATCAATCTGCAATCACCGGAGACGATCAATTTCTAACAAATTTTATACCACATTATTAAAAATCAACGGTTAGATAAGCTGACAAATATATAATGCAATGCACGCTATAGAATTTTGTGATAATAAGGAACGATTTTGTGAAATCATAGGTTTTAAAAAGTGGACCTTTAGGAATCTCTGCCCTGCCCATTTAAGTTCGCTTTTACCAAAGACATATAACCAAATATCGGCAGTTTTAATTCTAAACTAAAAATTTTAGATCTGTAAATACTATATGACAATGCACATTTATTTTACAAGGCAAAATACATTGTTATTTAGGTCAATTGTTATTATTATTATTATTTTTATTATTATTTGTTATTGTAATTATTATTATTAACAATAACAATATTATCATATATATACATATATATATACAGTATATATATATAATATATATAATAATAATAATAATAATAATAATAATAATAATAATAATAATAATAATAATAATAATAATAATAATAATAATAATAATAATAATTTATATAGCGCCAATTTCAACTATACCGAAGTAAAAATCAAA